CATAATTAAAAATAAAAAATAGATTGATTTAAAATCAAATTATGAAATTGGGGTGTGTGTGTGTGTGTGAGATATCACATAATATATATATGTGTGTGTGTGTGTGTGCGCGCCAGTTTGTTAGACTCATAGACTAAGTCTTGAAAAACTAGGCCTAATTTAATTAAAAGTATGAATCTGACTTAAATTTATTTAATAAATATATTAAGTTGAGCTTAAAGTAAGTTAAAAGATAGGCTTTTGATAGAAGCATGACCCATTCTCATACCTATGAAATATCATATCAATTAATTGTTGTATTATTTTCACAATTTTTGTATTACAGAATATATAAACTAAGTTAACAACTCAGTGAAGATGCAAGTGTGTTGTTTACACTTCTAATAGAACTACCCGCTTATATTATTGCCTATAATTGATTTAGATTCATATATAAATTCTAACAAGTCTACTTTAAATCTCTCCTATAATCCTTCCACAAGGCATGCAATCATGGCCGAATTCAAAGTGAGCGAAATCAATTATGGAACTTGCGGGTTGATGTAGATAGCTAACTAGGCCATGGCCGCAATCAACAGAGGCACCACTGGTGAATCTTTTCATTAGATATGCGAAGAGATTGCAAGAGATAAAAACCAAATCAGTACGGCTCTGCCATGTTCCTCTCCTTTGAAATTCGGAATATATCATCGATACCTGGGTGGGATTGCACTTTTTCCCCACATACTCACCACGAACGTGCCTCATCCACAGGGTTCTTTATTGCTTCAAACCGTGCCAAATCCAAGCGCACTTTTGCTCCACTGCAACTAAGCTAGTACGACTTGACAGATGCCAGCAGGCTATATGCCAAGCTTAATTCAATGGATCAGATCATCGAACACATTATGTGCAATATCTTTTGCAGTTCTCATGAGCTTGATGGAGTGAAAAATGTAATCCAGTGAACAATAATAGATGCGGAAATAAAACTGCTCCATATACCATTGGACAGATACCCTCCTTTCTGTTGAGTTGTAAAAGCCTAGCTAAATCCATATGGACTATATATGATCCAATTCAATGGGTCAAACCATCAAACACCTAATGTGCAATAATTTCGAGGTTCTTATGAATTTAAACAGCTCCAGATCTGCAAATAACACTGTTCTTTGAACAATTTGATACCCTTCCGTTGGTTAGTTTGATCGGTAGATGCCTTATCTCGTGTGAGCTATATGATCTGAGTTTATCCTCATCTGGGGCCGAAAGTCAAAATTCCACCTCCACCAGAGAAAAAGTTAAGTGCAGCGAGCAGAATATAAATAGAAAAGCAATGAAAATGCCACCATTCATTCATTCACTCATAGCAGTAATCTGAGTGTGCTCATGAACCCTCTGTGGAGGGAGGTTGAACACGGCACTTGTTGCTGTGATCTGAGGCACAGATTGAAACAAATGGGTCCCTGTGAATGGCTTGAGAAATTACCACCAATAGAACCAAAAATTCTTCACTACGCATGACATTTCCTGGAGGTAGTTCATATTCTCCCAAACTCGCTCACTATTGTTTTGTCCCTTTCACCTTAGCCATCGCTTTCACACAAGATTCTAATTGTGCTACACCATTGGTTGGTAGGATTTTCGTGCTATTTACCAAAACGGGCCGAAGAAAAATCTAAAAAGCTGATGGCCTTTTGATTCCAATCTTGGAACATCTGAGTACCTTCAATACGCAACCTTAATCATAACTCTTTTAGAGTTTAGAATAGCTTACCAACTACAACACCCATTGCATGATACTATAAGGTATTGATTACTTCATAGTTATAAAAAAATAATCATCAAAATTTTGGTTTTGAAAAAAAAAAATGCTCCCACCTGTACCTGTTATAGATATTGAGTTGTTGATCCTCAATATACAACAGTTGATGGAATATTAATTATGTTTTTTTAATATTATTTTTATTTAAACTTATTAATTATGTGAGAAAATGTGATACAAATTTAATATTTTTTATTTAAATAGAGGCAAAATTAAAAGTTTGCTTTATTTTTAAATAAAGTTAATAACTTAATTACTTCTTCTTAATTCTATAAAGTAGTTAGAAGTACATTATAATAAGGATAAAAAGGAATATATTTTTTTAATTATATCATCATTAAATACCTTACATAAATGACTTAATAATAACAACCAAAATTCTAATAGATCATTTTTAAAAAAGAAATAATAAACAAAGAAAGAATATATTTTAAAATATAAAAACTACTCAATAAACACTTACCATACTTATTTTAAATGTCTTGACAAGAGAAGTCTCACGTCCACATTTACTTAATTATAATGAACTCAGGTAAAAAAAAATTGTAATGAACTATAAATATATATATATATATATATAAGATTCAGGTGTTGAAGTTTAATTGGAGAATTAATGGTAATGAACATGAGCAGTTGCACCTAAATAGTTTTTTCAAGAATACATCATTTTGTAATAATTAAAAGTGTGTCGATGTTAATACAATGATTCCTTTAAAAAGTAATTTTTTAAGCATCTTGTAAATGCTTTTTAAATTGTGAGACATATTTTAAATTTAATGAGCGAAACTCAACGCACATATTTTTTTTATTATCCAGAAAAGTATGCTCTTTTGCGCAATATGTCCGTTTAACAAACGCATATTCAAAGAATTTGTTTTAGAGGATGTACAAAATTACAAATGGTTCTGATTTGAGATATATATATATATATATATATATTGGTGTTTACTTGTTTAAGATTTGGTATTGCAGGTCAAAACCTTGATTCATGAGGACTACCTTCCATACAAAACTTTTTGCGACAATGTGCTCCTTTATCAAAATTGATAATTTTTAGTTATAGTCTCACGCATGAGTATGCTTTGAATTTCCTCCTTGTTCAGCTGACTATCTCATTTTTTAAAAAAATAAAGATCTCATTTGCCTTTTGATTTCAATTCCCATTTCTTTTAGGCTTTCGGCCATTCTATCAAAAACAAAACCAAAAAACCAATGTTCTAGTCTTTCTAAACTAACATTTGATTTGCACCCAATCGAAAAATCAAGTGATTTATTCCAGGCCAGTCTTGTATGCCTCCCTAGATTGCTTTTTAATGGGCTTAACACCGAAAGACCAAATGGGTGAAACTCCATGTCTGGAGCAGGCCTTCGGGCAAGAAAAAACTTCAATGTTGAAGATAAAAAATTACACTAATAAAAAAAAATTGACTTATTCTTATCATTAATTGATGAACACCTTTTTTTGAATTTGTAAGATACAAGGTCTGGTTATAATACTTTCTCAGTTTTCAACTACCAATCATTGTTAGATTAAGTGAAAGATTTTCAAATGAAGTTAAGGTTTAAATCCTATTGATGAAAAGATTATATTAGAAGAGCTATTCTCAGTTAGATATAATAATATTCAAATGTATTCCGACAATAACTATGGATTCAAATAATATGGATATTGTTACAAAACTCATGAAAATATAAACAATTTGATAAGAGTGAGAGAAAGTAGTGGGAAAGAGTTCTTATCATTTTACTTTGATTCACGTGTGTACAAGTCTTTTGAGGTAATTTCTGCTTACAAGCCTTTAATCATTAAACACTAATATGTGAATCACAGTGTATATATACTAACATAACAATGTACATCTCCCTAAAATCAAAGATTCATTGATATATTTGTTACTCATGAATGTTCGAATCCTTAATAACTTAAATTCATGAAGGTGGGAGGAAAAATAAGATAGAATGATTCAAAGAAGTCATGATTTTTTTTTTGGGCCAACCATAACAGTTACAATTGAATTCTTTGAATCTTGAGAGGTCATGAATACTCACAAATATAGATAATACTTACAACATATATAAAAATATTATGTTTGAGCAAAAAAAGATAAAAATATTATGAGAATTACCCTTGTCTGGAGATGAGTCTCTATAGTAAGACATCAATCATTAAACACTAATACATGAATTGCATTGTACATAGATTAACATAATAATATCTATTTCCCAAAATCAAATATCCATTCAGCATTTGGCAAACATGAATGTTCCCATACTTAATACTTTAATGTTAGAATACTTTCCCAATTTTCAACTACCCCCAATCATGGTTAGATGAAGCCCAAAAAAAAAAAGGGAAAAGTATAACCAAGTCCCACATAGAGAAATTAATTACTACAAGATCTATTGATAATTAAACTAAACTTATTGTCAATGTATTTAATTTATTGTCAATGGATCTTATAGTAATTAATTTTTTTGTATAGAGCTTCAATGTAATTTTTCAAAAGAAAAACTGTGGGAACTTCCTCAATTGATCACAACTCCGAGAAAAAAACTAAGTTTTTCCCCAATAAATCAAATAGTTTAGTTAAAAAAAATGAAAAATGGCGAGATACTAGTCCAAATAAAACAATGAAATATTGTGAAATTTTATAAAATTTAAACTTAGTGACTGTATTTAGTACAAACATTTAGTGTTTATATTATTTGAACTGTTAAAATTTAAATTAATAATTTAAAATTTATATTTCACTTAAAATTAATAAATGAATGAGTTTATTTAAATCGTTAATATAAATTTTAACAACTCATATAGTATAAACATTTAATATTATAAAAAATACAGTTATCGAATTTAAAATCTAATTTTGTGAGTGTCTCAATTCCTCTCATATAGAAAAAATCCAACTGTAAGATTTTATTAATATTTAAAAATTTATATTTGACTAGAAATAAATGAAATGTTGAGTCGAAGGGCAATTCTATGAGCCCTAATTTTTTGTTTAGTTTCATTTACATCTCCTCGTTGTTGCTTCTCAGTTTTCGGTGCCGTTGCTGTTTCAGTTTTTGTTGGGTCCTATATAGTGTCTAATAAATTCTCATTCTTTTAACATTACTATGCTTGCTAGCTAAAAAGGATAATTTTATAAGGATGAATTTCTATTATTTCTTGTTGTTATAGGAATCACATAAGTAGAACTATGAGATGGTGTTCTCCTTATATTTTATAATACCACGCGACATACTTGTTGAATGAAAGTGAGAAGATTTATACATTTATCAAATCCAAAGCGAAAAAGTTTTCACAAACAGATTCGAATTTCATAGACATTGTAGAGAGATTCAGTACTGCCTACTTTTTTGTGAACCAAACCCTTGCTGTATCTTCATTTGTCAACCAAAAACTTAAACCTGCTTGACTACTTCCCGAAGAAAAAACAAAGCCAAATACAAGCACTACATTCTAATGCTCGATTTCTTCAAGAGAACGACGACGCTCATTCAAGTCCTGTATAAGATTATTCAAATCAGAATACGACGTGCCTCCCTTTTCCACTGCCTTTCTCGCTTTCAGAGCCAGTGCCTCTGCTCTGTTTCTCATTTCCTCTGCTTCTTCCCCTTGCATGCCTCTATTCACTGCTTTCTCTATTGCTTCCCACTTGATACTGTCATCTCCCATCACTCTCGCCCATTTTGTAACGCCCACAGGCACACCAATTTTAAGTACCTCACTCACCAATTTCTCATTGTAAAACTGCTCTGCGTACACAGGCCATGTCACCATTGGCACTCCTGCGCACACTGATTCCAACGTTGAATTCCAACCACAGTGTGTCACGAACGCTCCCACTGCTTCGTGTTCAAGAATCTTCACTTGTGGTGCCCATCCTCTTATGATCAGCCCCTTACCTTCCAGTCTCTTCTCAAATCCTTTGGGTACCCATTCTTCTTCTTGCTGCTGTTCGTCTTTCTTGGGTTTTCTCACGACCCAGATGAACTGTTGCCCCGAAGCTTCTAGACCGATTGCAATTTCCCTGAGTAGGGATTCTGGGAAGTTTGTCACACTTCCAAAGCACACGTAAACAACGGAGCTGGGTTTCTTCGTGTCAAGCCACTTGAAGCACTCGTGTTCTTGAGGGACTGCTTTGTCCTCTGTTTTCGTGTTGCAGAGAGAAAGAGGGCCGATATGCCATGATTTTCTTCCAAGGACAGTCCTGTAATGATCGGCATAGTCCTCCTCCAGTTCGTAGAAGCTATTGACAAGTACCCCATAGCTTGTAAGCTCCGATTCTTTGGAAGCAATCAACAGTCTGCTCACTACGTTGTCTTCATTAAATTTGAGAAAATCTGGCACCTGCGACCTCGTCATCGTGATTTCACAGGGAAAATTAGGAATAACGAACGGCTCCGAATCTGAAGAAACATGGTCGTAAGGCCTGTTAAGTCTGAGACATTCGGAAGCGCACAAGGCGAAGAGACCAGTGCCGTGAAAGACGATCGCAGGAATGCCGAACTTGGCTGCAGAATGAGTGGCCCATGGGAAGAACATGTCTGCGACGAGACAGTCAGGAAGAGAGTGCTGCAACACTAGCTCCAGCGGCTCTTGAAGCAGAGTAGTGGCTTCGAAGAATTTGAGCATCAAATCTGGGGAAGGGATGGAGTTCATATTCTCGAAGCCTTGAGGGAAACCAACCTTGGCAAAAGGGAAATGGATGGTTTGGATATGAATCAGAGGATTGAAGGATGGGAGTGATTTGGAAATAAGAGGAGCGTTGAGAGGAGTGGATAGAATGGTGGCCTTAACCCCTCTGGCTGCAAATAGCTTGGCCATGTCAATGGTAGGAATCAAGTGGCCCTGGGCAAGGAATGGGAAGAGGAAGATGTGGAGAGGGCGATTCTCAGCACCCATACTATACTATTGAAGGAAGCAAATAAGTTCAGCAGATGAAATTCATCAAGAGGAGAAAAGGGACCTCTCAAACGGAGCGTGTGTCACGGCAATCAAGAATTCAAGATAACTCTACACCATGGAAACAGTAAGTTTATTATTAATATTATTCATATTTAAATATTACTTTTTCTTTCTTTTCGATCCAATGTATATTTCCTTCATTTTTATTTATAAAAAATATATTATATAATTTTAAAAAATTAATTAAATTTAAAAATAAAAGAATTGAACTACGTTACTTTTTATTAATTATATTAATTAAGCCTTCACCAATTATTTTTTCATTAAACTATGAGAGATAATTTAATAAATTTTTAATAAATATATATTAAAAAATGTGATTTTATTTATATAAAAATAAATTAAAAATAATAGTTTTTTTAATAAATAAAAACAAAAATAGTACTCTCTTTGTTAAAAAATGTAAAATATTTTTAACTAAATCTCAACCTTCAATAAAGTAATTACTTACTTTTAAATTAATTTTATTTTTTTATATTTATTTTTATTAAATACCCTAAAATAAACATAGAGTTATTATCAATGAGGACACTTTTAACAAAAACAATAATTATACCTCTTCAAAATATACTTTATATTTTTAAATAGAAAAAGTATAACTTTTTTTAGTGCATATGAAACCGTCTTCCTTTGCTGTAGCATTAAAAATCTAGATAATAAATTTAATGTTTTATTTATTAAAATAAAAATTTGATAAATTTAATAAATTTATCTTACCATAAATGTAAATAATATATATACAATTTAAATATTTCAATTTAATATTAATTTTTTTAAAAAAATTTTAAAATTTTATAATATTAAAACTAGCACTTTAAAAAATATTTAAGAAAAAATTTTGATTTAAAATTTTTAAATTTAAGCTATATAAAACAAGTTTGAACACTAAATTTATAAAAAATATAAAAAATATTTAATATTAAATTAAATATTTAAATTAAATTTATATGGCATTGTTAAAATTTTATAACTTTTATTTTAATAAATATAAATAAATTAAAAAATAAAATCTATAAAAAATTAGACGATCCATGTGACCACATGCCTGTCACTGAAACTGGAGCGATTAGGGATGATGACAGACCGTGGGGCTGCGAACAGGACAAATGATGTGCACTGTACTACCCTTCCTCTGTTTGTGTGTAATTTTTTTTTTTTTTTTTTTTTGGGTTTTCAGATGCTAGCTCTCGAACACGTCTTTTGAAGTTTGAAACAAATGAACAAACCACAATGGAACAAAGTAGCTGCTGTTTGTGTGTATTTTTAAACAAAATGATAATCAAGGTAAGTGCACATAAAAACAATAATAATAATATTCAGGGTTAGTGCATATATAATAACAATAATAATAATTAAGATAAGCTTCTAGAAACGAACGGCCATTTCCCTCCCCAGCATGGCAAATAGTATGGTGCCTACTGTCATGATTGTCACTTGATTTACCCTCTAGGAGATAATTTCTACCAAGGAAAGTACTCCTTAATTCCTTATACTCTTAAAAAAAGAAATTGTTACTATATAATTAGAAGGATTATGATTAAATTAAAATGTGCATTTCAACTTCCATGTACTCAATTCATTTTAAATCATAAGATATTTTTGGATAAATCATTCATATTGATAAAATTCATTACAGTTTACGACTTTATTTTTAAAATAAAAATATAAATTTTAAAAATTCTCTTCATTTAATACTTTATTTATAAAATAATATTAAAAAGAGAAAATATAATAGAAATGTAATATTAAAAAGTATAATAAATCAAATTTTATTTTTTTAAAATATCTTATAGTTTGAAATGTTAAAATTTTTTTAAAAGTATTTTACAATTTAAAATAAAGAGAATAATATTTGTTCTTAGTTTAAAAAACTTTTATCTAATTTAGAAATAAAAAATACAAACTAATGGGGGTTTAATCTAATAAAAAGGGCTAATTTCTCGAAACGTGATGAAATAATATTCAAATGTTATTTAGGAGAGATGTTTATATTTAATGTTTAACTTGTCTCAAATAGAATTGCTTTTCATAAAAAATGTTTATAAAAAATAGAAAATACACAATATTATGTCTTTCAAAAACATAAAAATTCGGTGCCACCGATGTGGTACCGCTCTAAAACACGTGTAATACTTCCATTCCATCCGATCCTTACACTTATTAATAAATATTAATTATAATTTTAAAATTGTAAAAAGAATGCAACTTTTCAATTTTATATTTATTTATAATTAATAATCATGATAGATTATTGTCTAAAAATTTAGATGAAAAGAAATAAATAAGAGATAAAATTAAAAAAATATTAACTACTCTAACTAAACGTTATATTTAGAATAAAAAAGTTTTAAATTTATCCTCCTTCCGTCTTTATATATAAGAAGAGGTTTTTTAGAATTTTTTTATCCCTAAATATAAGAGATTATTAATATATTTTTTAATAAATGACCTTATTAAATTAAAAAAAAGACAAGTACTCTCATTAATTTATTTTAAAAAAATTCATTTTTTATTTATAATAATTAAAAATAAAATTAAAATGTTGTTATACTTTTAATTAGATAACTAATTTTTATTGATTTTCTTAATTTGATCAAAAAATATCTTATATATAAAGATAGAGGGAGTATTAAGAATAAGAGAGAGAGTTTTTACTATGATATAGAATGATATATTGAGTCGAGTTTTGCTACAAGCAGTAGACAATTTGCTAGATACAATCGTAAAATGTGTAGTGGGCAATTTTCGGAGGGACGGTCTACTTAGTTGTTGAAATCCTCAAGCCTTCCACATCAATTTGTCATTGTTCCAGAATGAGCTTTTACAAGAAGAAGGCTTTGAGAAAGGGCAATTTTTGGAAAGCATGTCGGAGGCGATTTTCAACGGAAAGGTGATTCCTGATAATTAATACCTTATTTGGTATGATGAAAATGATTTTGATGAAAATGAAAATGAATATGGAGGTGAAAATGGATATGATGTTTAAAAATATGTTTGATGTGTTCATGCAATCTTGGTATAATTTTTAATTAATATGTGTATTTTAAATGTAATAATATTAAAGTACCCTCCAAAATTAAGGGGAAAAAAATCCCTCAACCACCTGCTTGAAAAATCATCGGCCAAATCTCTATCCAATCAACAGCAGCAATTTAGAATAATTAGAACCCATATTTGGAACAAATTGATGAAGTGGTGTTCATTCAAGCCAAATTCAGGTGATGAACTCAAACCCAAACTGCGAACGTGCTTCCTTGTCATGCTTAGCTTAAAATAGTTCTTTGATCTATGCAAAGGAATGGAGGAAGACACAAATATACAAAAGATATAGGCAATGAGATTGATGCAAATATTCTCTCTCCAAATCTGGTGCTTGTCATCACTATTTATGGAGATCATCATCATCACCATCATTGTTGATGAAGAAGGAGGGTAAAGAACAAGTATTAGCTATATTTTCTCTCTAGATTTGGTGCTTGCCTTCGTCGTCGATGAAGGAGATGGACAAGAGGTTGTCATCGTTGCTTTCGTCTAATCTGGCAAGTCAATCATCAGAAGGTTGAGATAAAAGAGGGCAAATACAAAGAAGAAAAAGATCGAGAGGGAGGGGTAAAAAAATAAAAAATACATCATGGAATTGAAAAACTTAGTTTTTATTATGGAAACAATTTCCACCAGTTTTGGTGGAATTGAAATTCAAAAAGTTTTCAATTCCATGATATCAAACAAACATTTTTCTCAATTCCAATTCCATTTCTATATGAACCCTTTTCATTTCCATCATACCAAACATACCATAAGAGTTATGTTTTTTATTGTTTTGTTATGGAGTCTTGTATATGGGCTTTTGAACTACTACTTCTCCTTGTCAATCTTTAACTTCTAACAACTTAGAAAGGGTCCTCTGACATTGAAGGTGATTCCAAATTGTGCGATTTTCGGCGACTTGTTCTATAAGTTTGTAGGCGATATTCAATGCTTTCTAAATCGTTGCTATTGATCTCTTTTGCATGTTAGATTTTTCTTCTAGTTTATTTCTTTCTTGCCAAGCTTATTTACCTTTAGAGGTAGGGAATTCGACATCTAATTTTTCTGATCCAAAGTATTTTTGTGCACTTTCTAAGGAAGATTGTGGCCTTTTTTTTTCTATAAGTATGATTCAAAAATTGCTCCTCAATGCCTTTTCTTAGCAACATTTAACAAAATGAAACTTAATATTACTTTCACTAATCACGCCTTTATTATTCGTCAATGGTTAAGAGTAACTATACAGTTGCACAGGCAATTACTGGGTAATTTCTTGATTGGTTTGGGTGTTCAATAGAGTCATAGATCTTCTCCTATTGCTACATTGCAACAAATGTCTTGTTTATGAACTAAATCACTCTACATATGTTCTAAAGGCTCTTCGATGATTTCTTTTGAATCCTCGCAATACCTTTGTTGGTTTTTGGAATCACATAGATAGGAAAAAATTGGAATTGTCTAGACATAAATTACTTATGTGGAAAAATCCTCTTAATGTAACACCCCAACGTTAGTATTTAAAAACTTAACCAAATGCCATGGTAATTAAAAGATTTAAACTAATAAAAATAATTATCATGGTATAAAGATTTAAAGTCAATTTTTAAATTTACTTTGAAAAGATGATCACAGTACAAAAAATTTAATCTATATTTTAGGAAATTACCATGGTTACATAAAATTTCATTTACTAAATTGATATTTAAAATCTAGCCTTAGTAAAAATAATAGATCCATTAAGCAACTTTGATAGCCTTAGACCTCAGCTAACAATACCCTTTCTAGGTATCAATAAATAATAAATAATTTCAAAACTCCACCCAAATGACAAATGAGTCCTATACTGACAAATAATTATTCTATAAACTAAAATGGAACTTAAAGCTTAATCAAGCTAAATAAGCTTCCAGACGTTTTCCTTTTACTCCGCTAAGCTTACCTAAAATGTTAAAGAGAAGGGTGAGTATTAACGTCTTGATAACCCAAAGTTTAACCATACATGCACA